AGGAGGATAGAAGGAGAATTGATGCCTTTGAGCTGTGGTGCTGGAGAAGAGTATTGAGGGTACCATGGACTGCTAGGAAAACAAACAGATTCATCCCGGAAAGGGTCAAAGCGGGCTGCTCCTTGGAAGCAAGGATTCTAAGGCTCCGTCTAACATAGTTTGAACATGTTGCAAGGAGGGACAGGTCCTTGGAGAGGGACATCATCCTTGGTAGGCTGGAGGGGCAGCGCAGAAGGGGAAAGCCCTCTATGAGGTGGATTGATTTAGTGACTGGGGTAATCGGGATGGGCGTGTCAGAGATGGTGTGATTGGCACAGTACACAGCAGAGTTTAGGGATATTGTACATGGGGTCGCTATGAGTCGCAAGTGACTCGATGGCACATAACAACAACAACAATGTCCTCCAGGACCCATTTTGTATGATATTTCATTAGTGCCTTGTTTTTCAATGCAGCATAGTATTCCATTGTGTGAATATACCAGAACTTCTCTGTTTATTCATTTATTGATGGGCACTTGGGTTGTTTCCAACTATTTGCTAGAACAAAGTTGCAAATAAACATGGCCTCTTTTCATAATAGGTCCAAAGTCTGTGAGAAGAAGCATTCTACAGCCCAGCTATACTACTTGATCTCTGATCCTTCCTATCCCAATAGATTTGGGCACCTTGTGTCAAACTACCCTTGTCTCTCAAGCACAAGAACTAAACAAAACACCAAATTCCACTTCTATGGCTGATAGTCAACAAAAGAATTCCATCTTGGGTCCAATGTCCTGTGAGAGTGTTCTTACACTTCTTTGGTTTGGCTAAAATGATGGGCCTGATGTACTCACATATTATTTCACAAACATCACATCCTAGTGGATTAGCCTGGACAGCCAAACTCAGGCCATGAGACAGAACATCGTCTTGAATCAAATCTACTTAGCAAGAGAAGACATACTATGTGAGAACATTTCAATTGTTAACAAATAGCACTGGTGAAGTTCCAGAACCCCATTGATGTTGAAAGAAAAATGGCTTGTTTCTCTCCTGCTCTCCTAACTGTTGTGACTTGTCATTTTCTGCAGGATCCTATGGATCTACCATGAGACTGGCACATGGGTGTATCCTGTGTTTGCCCAACTCAGCCCATTGGGAATAGCGGTTTTCTTCTCACTCAGCTATATGTGTGGCTGCATCGTCGCCCTACTTGGAGAGAAGTTCAACCACCTGATATGGGGTCAGTTATTTCCCTTTTCTAGACAGGTAGCCTACTGGCAAGAAGCTGCACTACAATCCCAAAAGTGCATGGTGCAAGGCCACTAGCCATTCTGTGGGAGAAGGATGGGTAATCTCTTCCCATGTAATTAACTGCCTCTGAAAACCTCCTGGAGGGTCAGCTATGGGTCGGTTCTGACTGGATGGTACACAATAACAAAAACTTACGGTGTTAAGGAGCTCTGGTGGCTTAGTGGTAAGGAACTATACCGCCAACCCAAAGGTATGCTATTTGGCTTCACCTGTTGCTCCTGGGGAAAAGATAGGCAATCTCTTTCTGTGCAATTTACTGCCTCTGAAAACCTGCTAGAGGGTCAGCTGTGGGTAAGTTCCAATGAGACCACACACCACAAGTGTTATTTTTTTTTTCTTAGCCATTCTCTGTTTCTTTTGGAAATTGAAATTAAAATTAATACAAAGCCTTTGTCCAAGAACTGCACTAGGCCATGAAAACAAACACACCACCAGGTAAGGAAAACACCCAGAGGAGAGTTTTTACACTCTTAAAGGAACCCATCAAATTAATCCCCTTCTTCAAAATGTTCAAAATAGAACTTTAAGGTGACACTTGATCTTGAGTAGAGAGTTCAGGCCCCAAGACCAAGGCACTACTATTTCCAGCATAAATGAATGGATTGTTTGGTAAGACATCAGTATAGTTGCTGTTATAATCACATGTGATAAAATCAGCGAGTTTCAAGTAAAGCAGATTACCTTCATTTAAGGGGAAAAAACATGCCTTCAGAGTCTTCTTCCCTTGAGTGGAGGCTAGCAGTGAATCAGTTGTTCAAATTATCAGGCTTTCCTTTTTCGCACCCTCTCAGCACTCCCAGTCACAAAGGCGCAATCCCAAAGGAGCTACAACATCTCCAACCAGGTTGCATCCCAACCTAGAAAAGTTAAAGTCATAGCTCTGTGATTGGAACCCAATGTAGACAGAAACTTGTTCAGTGTAAACACATCAATAAGCAGGTTTTTCTAAGTCTAGATGTGTAGATCTGTGCTACTCCTTCAGAAGAAAAGAAGGAAAAAATAAATCTGTGTCCTAACTTAGTTGATTTACAAATAGAAGGATTCTGAGCTCCTGCCCTCAAGATATGTGTGTGCCTTTAAGTATTTGAGGAGAAAGTAACTACCTGAAAACTCAGATTGCAAAATTCCCTATGATTTTTCCCTGCCCAAGAGGAAGTGCGGGAGCTGTACTTGGATTTTGTGTGTAAGGGAAAGCAAGCAGCTCCACAGTGACTCCCACATCACATGCCTGCGCACCATTCTGTTCCATCAAAATAGAAAGAGTAGAAGTGGCGTCTTCCACACAGTCTATGAATTGGTATGAAAACACAAGCCTTTGGATTTTAAAATTTTCTAAGACAGTTGCAGAAATTTCTGTACAAGAGAGTATATTTCAAAAAGGAGACTGAGGTCCTGAAGGAATAAGCATGCAACGAGGGTTTTTTTCACTTCTTTTTCTACAGTTGGAGGATGTACCTGGTTAAGGAAGTCTCACAGGCACATCCTTTTTCAGAAAGCACACTCTTGAAAATGGCATCCCAAGCCACAGAAAATTATCTAGAAAAAAATGTTTGGACATTTCACAGCTAGAGTTTAACTTAAGCTAGTGCTGCCTCCCTGAAGTTCTGATTAAAGATTTCTGATTCTTTCTCCAAATCTACATTTAAAAAATGGAAGATGAAATATGTTATTTGAAATGGAAAACATAAGTTCAGAGAAAAAAAATGATTATTCATAGAGAATGATAACTTTATAATTTATTATATTGAGGTAATAGTTTGTTTCTAAATTATTTCTCTATATGGATTTTTAAACATGCATTGAGTTAAGAAAATGTTTCCACTCTATTTATTATAATTTAAGTATTCTTTTCACACAAAGCTATTTTTTACTAAGCCTCATGTTTAAGTACACTCACTCTTCACTTGTCAATATAGGTAGTTTCCAAAGAGCAGGCCAGTGTTATGCAAAAAATGGAGGATGACTACATCAGGTCACAGAATTAAACATGAATATCACAATCAATACACTTGGCATCATCAGTCAGGAAATCAAAAGATGAATTGCACTGAGAAAGTCTTCTGTCAGGGACCTCTCTAGAGTACTGAAGAGCAACAGTGCCAATCTGGAGACTAAGGTGTGCCTGATACTGGCCATTGTCTTCACAATTATTTGCTATGCATCAGAGAGCTGGACAATGACTAAGGATAACAGAAGAAGAATTGATGCCTTTGAGTTGTGGTGCTGGAGAAGTGTGTGGAACATACCATGGATTGCCTGGAGAACAAACAGGTCAGTCCTGGAAAGAGTGAAACCGAACTGCTCCCAGGAGGCAAGGATTTTGAAGCTCCATCTCATATACTTTGGGCATGTGGCCAGGAGGGACCAGACCTCGGAGAAAGACACTATGCTTGGAAGGGGTGGAGGGACAGCACAAGAGAGAAAGACCCAGGATGGGATGGATTGACCCAGTGACTGGAGAAATGGGATTAGGTCTGCCGGAGATAGGGCAGGGTTCAGAGCTGTTGTACGTAAAGTTTCTATGAGTTACAGATGACTTGGTGATGCATAACAACAAATAACATTTCATTACAGACAGACAAAAGTCCTCACAACTGGGTCAATAAAAAACATCAAGATAGATGGTGAGAGGATTGAAGTTGTCAATGATTTTGTCTTGCTTAAATCTACAGTCAAAACCCTTGGAACCAGTAGTCAGGAAATCAAAAGATATTTCACTAACTCTGCTGTCAAGGACCTTTCTAAGGTGTTAAGGAGCAGTGATGCTAGTCAAAAGACTAAGGTTCATATGATTCAAGCCATGGTATTTTCAGTTACTTTTTATGCATCTGAAAGTTAAACAATTACTAAAATGATGAAAGAAGAACTGATGCCTTCAAGTTACAGTGTTGGAGAAGAGCACTGAATATCCCATGGACTGCCAAAAGAACAAACAGATATGTTTTGGGGAAAGTACTGACAGGGTGCTCTTTGGAGAGAAGAATAGTGAAGCTTCTTCTTACATACTTAAGTCATGTGGTCAGAAAGGGCTGGTCTTTGGAAAAGGACATCATGCTTAGAAAGATGAAAGGTCATCAAAAGAAAGGAAGACCTTCAACAAGATGGATTGACACAGTGACTGTAACAAAAAGCTCAAGTATATATATATATATATATATATATATCTCAGAGATGATAAGGATCGCACAGGATGGGGAAGGGTTTAGGTCTATTGTTCATAGGGTCACTAGGAGTCATAGTGGACTCTCTGACACTTAATGACAACAGTATCATTACATAACCACCAAACCACTGAGATTTATGGTCTAGCCAAGTTGACACACAATCTTAACCATGATAGCCAATATTACTATCATCGTATTACCTCAGTGTTTCTTAGTGACAGATGCATATCATTAATCTACAAAATAATAAGATTAGTAGATTGTTTTACTACTGTCTCAATTATGAATGTGGAATAATAACAAGATAGTTGATAAGTGAGAAGTAGGAGCACCATATTTTTTTTTCTACATGTAAGTTCCAGTGTGTAAATAGACAAGCATGAGAACTTGGGCCTTCGCTTTTATCATGCGACACCGTCATGACTATGAGTTTCTCACCTCTTTCTCTAAAGTAATGCCTCGAGAAGAAGACACACCCTATAAAGCCCATAACATCCAAATAATGTTATAAAAGTGTTAACTACTGAATATATCTTAATTAAAGACAAATGATTGAGAATGTAAAGAAATAATTCAATTCCTTAAGAGTACAGTGGAGTTTCCAAGTGGCACAAACGAATAGTTAATGCACTTAGCTACTCACTGCCTAAAATTAGGCAGAGTACTCTTTGCGAACAAATTTTACTATGTCCTAATGTTACCTAAAACATTTTAAAACTTCCCTTAATTGAAGTTGAAGTCCAAGTCTGTAGAATGACATCCAGGTTCTCTCTGGCTGAAACCCTGCAGTGGTTACTGCTTTCCTACTCCTAAGTCTGTCTTCCAACCTTCTTTGTCCTACATAGAGGTTGTTTCTCACCTCCACAGACTTTTCTCCCTCACATCCCAGTCACTGACTGACTCATACCTACTCAACCATTTCAACTCAGATGACACTTTCACCTCCTCCAGGAAGCCTTCCCTGGTCTGCACAGGTTGCGTGAGGTGTCTCTCTACAGTATTTCCATCAGCCTCACAAGTACCAGATTCCCTCCACCATTTCTATTTCCTCTTTACTTCTTTAAGGCTTTGTGTTTCTACTAGACCCCCAGTTTCCTAAAGGTGAGGACTATCTTAGCCATCTTTAGCCCTCTACATTCCTCATTTCTATTAACTCTTCTACTGCATTAAAAAATAGAGACAAAAAGTCTATCCAAGGGCTCTTTCTACCTAGACAGTACACTTGTTGCAAAGGTATTCTGGAGAGAGTAGATAAAGAGTGACTTTGACGGTTGTATCTTAGAGCATCAGATGAGGGTGTAGGAAGGGTAGGAGAGTGATGCTGTGCTATATTCTTCTGGGTGTGTTGTTGAAAGGCAGGTTCATATCTAAGGCCAGCAATACAAAACTGAGGGGGAAGCACTGGAATAGGAAGCAAGAAAATGGAAATGTTTCCCTCGCCGGGCCACAAACAAAGCAAGTAACCAATGACCACACACACACCAACACCTGGTCTCAGAGTCCTCAGTGAGAGGGTGACCTCAAAGTAGGATGACCACACATTCCAGCATGCCCAGGATGCTACTATTTTATGTCTGTTGTCTCGGTGTCTGGGACACTGGTGGCTAAATGATAGAACCATACGGGAAAATAAATTTTCATTCCCAGCTGATACACAACCTACAGAGCCACCATCTCTCTGTGAGTGGAAGCTTGGCTATTGCAATGAGACTAACTGTGTTTCAACAGAGTTTTCAGACTAAGACTAGGGAGAAAAGACTAGTAGTGGTCGACTTCCAAATCATAGCCAGCAAAACCCTATCCTTCAAAACTGTATGAACCACATCAGATAATGAGGCTGGCACAGGACCAAGTAGCATTTTGTTCTATTGTACATGGGGTCACCAGGAATGGGGGCCAGCTCAACAGCTAACAGCAAGATTAAATAATTATACCATTCCTCTACCTTCGAGTCATCTCTAGATCTTAAGGAACAAGTAGAGAGATAGCCACCTACCTACCTTGTCCAAATCCAGGACTAATATTTTTCTCACTTTCTTCAACAGTATTTTGGATGGGAAAAAGAAATTAAAAAGAAAGGTCCCACTGACCCAGTGAAGAGTAGTGGTTAAGAGAAAGACTCCAGTAACAAACTACCTGGGTCCTAGGATACTTTATAAGACATTACATGGCTCATTGATAGTCAAGGGTCTAGAACAAGGCCTGGCACACAGAAAGCATCCAGTAAGGATTAGTTGCTGTGGTTAATCTCATTCTTCCCTAGGGGAAAACAGAAACATTCTTTTTAATGTATTAATTGCTCTTTTTACCTCCCATTTTTTAACAACTCACTAGTCTTCCTGGGTGAAGGTGCTTAAAAGTTAGCCACTAACTGAAAGCAAATTGATAATTGCAGTGTATTTCCTGAAAAGCCTAATATGAAACAGGAAATCAGGCTAACCAAAGGCTGGGATGTGGTAAAATTATGCTTCTGAAATCCTGAGATATCACATGACAAGGGTGGGAGTGAGTAGCCAATCTCTGAGTCAGAAAAAATATCAATAGGAAGTCCATTAAATATGCCAAGTGTCTCTCTCTACCAAGAGTCCTCATCGTTAGTTATATCATTATCTAATAAATGTTGCTGTCAGGTGAAGTCAAGTTGATTCTGAGTCGCATGTCAGAGTAGAGCTGCCTTGTAAGACTCTCTTGGCTATAATATTTTTTTTGGGGGGGGTGGCGGGGACAGGGGCATGCGCGGTGTGCGTCGAGGGGAACCTGGGCTAGCATGCCAAGCCAGTCGGCCAGAGCGCTGAAGTTCGCGCGCAGAATGCCACCGCCTCGCCGCCCCGGCTATAATCTTTTTAGGCTCTGATCAGCAGGTCTTGCTCACCTGTGGCCATCTATTGTTGTTAAGTGCCCTCGAGACAAGTATGACGCATAGTGACCCTATATACAATAGATCTGAATTCAGTCATATCTTACACTGTCTTTATCATCCTGGACATATTTAAATTCATTGACATAGACACTCTATCAGTCTATCTCATTGAGGGTCTTACTCCCGTTCACTGACCCCTCCACCTATCCAAAGCATGATGTCCTTTTCTAAGGAACAGCCTTTCCTAACAACAGGTCCAAAAATCTATGGTTATACTGAGCCTTCACCATCTTCGCCTCCAAGGAACATCCTGGTTGTGCTTTCTCCAAGCAGAGAGTTTAAATCACAGCCTTGTGATTAGCATCTAAGTGCTTCACCACTGTGCCACTAGTGATCCATAGAATCAGTGGGTGAGCTTTAAAACACTCATGCCCAGATTTCACTTCAGTCCAATTATATTTCTGGAGATGAGGTCATGGCCTTGGTATTTTATTTGCAATTAGGATCAAGAACCACCATAGAAATAAATCTCAAGCTTTTATGTTCTTCTGAGTCACTTGGGAAATTTTGTCAAAATGAAAATTCTAATTCAGTAGCCCTAGAGTGCTACCTACGTTTCTTGTCTACTCTGTCTCATGCATTTTGAGCATGCTGCCAGGAGTGACCAGTACTAGGAGAAGGATTTAACGTTTGGAAGGATAAAAGGTTAGTTCAGGAGAGGAAGATGCTGCATGAGACCGACTGACACAGTGACTGTGGCAATGGGGGGCAGGTGTGTGAGTGAGAGTGAAGTTGTCTCAGGATAGGGCAAAGTTCAGAGCTGTTGTTCATAGGGTTGCCGTAGTTGACTTGATAGCACATGATAGCAACAACCAGGTACGTAAGGGGCTCTGGTGGTGTAGTCCTTAACGTGTTGTGCTGCTAACAAATGGCTATATGCACCTGGTGGTTCCAGTTGACCAGATGCCTTGAGGGAGAAAGATGGGCAGTCAACTCCTGTTAAGATTTACAGCCTCAGAAATCTGCTGGAGGGTCTGTGACTCAGAACTGACCCAATGCAGTAAGTAGGATTGTTTTGTTTTGGGAAATTTCTTATCAAGTGCCAGGAAATTGAAGGGAAAAGGCTCTATTAAGCCTCAAGACTCTCAGCTCATCCCTGTGTAGACAATAACGTCTATCAGCAACCTTATCCAATACAATGTTTCCCAAAAAATGTTGACTGCTGGACTGAGCACGGTATTAGCGATGGGTGTAGTTAAAAATGTCTGCTTACTTTCTGCCTCCTCATCTGTGATTGTCTATGGGTAAAAAATAAAAAAACCTTGGAGAATGAATGATGAGGTCCTGCCCAGAGTGCACTGATGGAGGCAAGTGACTGGGGGAGGTGGTCCCAGCCCTAAGGTGCGTCCTGGAGGTGCTATGGCTCAAGAAGCTTGGAAGAGGTTCCAGAAGGCTGCACTCTGACTTGTCACTGTCTCCCGGTGTGCCTTATACTAGCTTTCATGCAGCACAGCTTCTCTACACTTGGTGAGGCAGTTATTAGGACCAGCACTCACCAAGACAGATTCCATTTCTTCCTGGACGGAGGAGTGATTTGAGTATTAATTCTGAATAAAGAATAGAAGCAAATAGGAAGATGCACTCTGGAAAATCCTGAGAGCTCAACCACTGTGTCTGAGCATCTAGGCATCTATATACTAAAGTGTTCTTTACTATCCTAATTGAGGAAAGGAGAATAAGCTCACACATCACAAGTACTCTTCTCTACCTGTGCAGAGTGCAATTTTTTCTTTATTTTATAATGATAGGACACTTGGATGCTGACACCAGGACATAAGTCCCTCAGGAAGAGAAATTCACCTCACTGAAACTATCAGACAGAAAGAGGCTAAGCCCCCCAAGGCTAACTGGCAGGGCCTCTGATAGTGTGGGGTGTGGTTGGGAGGCTTCATCTTACCTAGGCCCATGACTCCATCTTCTACAGTCTTGGGGGAGTGTGTTATTATTTGTTGGACTCCTTGATTATAGATAATTTTCTTCTGAAGGGCAAATTTATAATAGCATGACCAAGTGACTTTTTTTGATAGTCCTTTGGATAGTATGACAAAATGAGCTTCCTTCAAAAGATTGTGGATAGACTATAATTTTTTTTACACCTCCCCCCAAAGATGATTTTACTAGTAAAGACATCTTAGAAGCCATCTAGGAATTTATAATAAATTATGCCTACCTGTTTTACATACTATCACTGATAATTTAGGTGACTCTATGCATACTAATAAAGCATAACACACACACCCCTCCCCGGGAAAGTGTTTAGTCAGGAACCATGCTGATGGAGTGATGATAAGGTCTTGGACTTCTTACCAAAAGATCAGTGGTTTGAATTCACCAAAGGCCCTTGGAAGAAAGATGGACAGTCTTCTCTGGTGAAGATTTACAACCTCAAAAACTCATTGTGGGATAATTATGATTTCAATTTAATGGTTTTAGTTTTCTAGGGCTGAAATAACAAAGTAACACAAAACAGGTACCGTGACATGATAGAGATAGATTATCTGATACTTCTAAAGAGCTGAAGTCAGGGTGTCATGGACAGGACCATGTTTTCATCGGTGTCTGTTAATAAGGTTGTTATTTCTTCCCAGTTTCTGGCAATCTTAACTATTCTCTGCTTGGAGATGCATCTTTACAAAGTTCTCCTTCATTTGCTTTCTTGTGTCTCTTATCCACTTTTAGAAGTATACCACTTAGTTTAGATTAGAATCACCCTATTCAAGTTTGACTTCATTTTAACTGATAGCAGTTTCAAAGACTCAATTTCAATAAAAGGTCACATTCACATGTAGCAGGAGAGAACTTTCTAGGAGGATGAGATTCAATACATAATACTTGCCCTAACTTCTCTTGCAAACTCAGTTTACTCTGGATTATAACCTCTCCCTGTCCTTTAGCCTATATTTTAAGAATTTCTCCAGCCTACTTTGATTTCAGGTAGTGCTGATGGCCTAGCCTAAAGGAAGTTGCACTCTTAACCCAAAAGTCAAACTTCTCTGGCACTTTAAGATTTCTTGGAAGAAAGATGGATGGACAATCTCCCCCTGGGTGAATTACAGGCACAGAAATCAAGGAGAGCATCAGCTATGCGTCAGTTCTGCCTCAACAATAGTGAGTGGAAAGTGTTCAGTTTGTTTGTTTTTGTTGTTTCACTCAACTCTGCCTCCTTTGTATTATTTCTTCCCTGTGTTCTCGTCCCCAGTGACATTC